TCTGCAAGGCTCATTACCATAAATTCGGGGAGAAGAATACCGCATACATTACTACGCACACGTGCTCTGAAGACGAAATGACCGGCAAACCTCGAACGTCACAGCATCAGTGGAGTAGTTTTCTATCCGATTAATTCGAAACGAGAGCACGTGTGTGTGTGTGTGTTTCATCACAATAAACTAGTCTCTTTATGAAGACACTTTCACAGTTGGCTGAGATAGAGAGAGCGTTTTAATTAAGGGCAAATGTTCAATCCAAAACGTAATTCCGTATAATTTGTTTTATTCAATTATTCAATGGATGGATATTAATGTAGTATCAAGAAGTGCATCTCTTAAAACCAATGTCAAGTGAAAGGCACACGTTCTCTCTGCTTAAACAAGCGTTGAGGTGAAAATCGTATCTATTGACCACTCTGAACCAGTGGTGATAATTATTCTACATTCTCGATATAACAATCACTGCTGACTTACCACAAAGTGGTATTAGTTTTGACCTGCCCCCTGGCTGGGATTAGAAGTTGCTGCCTTCTGATTGTGAGCCGAGCAGTGTTTGAATAGTGGCAGTGCCAGGATTGTTAAATAGGTCAACTTTCAACTATTGTACAATACGGTACTCTTTACGTGATTGTCATATTTTCCGTATGGAGATATGATGTCAGGCTACATTTTAGACATTGTCATAGGTCATCACGTTTGTTTAATTTCTCATTCAAAAATGTTAAATTTTGACCTCCCCGTGAAAATATCTTGCAACATGTTTATTCCACGAATAGACGATGATGTTATTCACGCCATATAATGAACTGTAGCTTTAACGAATGCCCATCAAAGCTCTCTCACAGAAGTAGACAAAGCTCCTCACTTAGGGAAGCTGCGCACGACTCCACGCTTGTGTCGATCGCTGTACGCACTGTTCCACGTGGGTTTATGAGTCATGGGTTTCATGGGGGTTCTTTCAATTCTTAGGGGTTCCCAAGATGGAAACAACTTGCCTTTCGTCTTTGTGCCGCTGCTGTCACCCCTTGTGTTCGACGTTCGGGGTTCTTCCATGGAACCCATATTTTTATTCGGGGATATATTCGGGGCACGCGTTCCTCCTGGTGGGGGCACAATTGTGAACCGAAACTCCGCAACTTCTTGGTTCTTTCGGTAAAGTCACGTAGAAGGGAAATAATAAAATAATAATGAAAAAACATAATAAAATCATTCTCACGACGTTTCGGCCACAACGCAAGACAGACCTGGTCTTCACCTGAGGACGGCTGCTTGCGTTGTGGCCGAAACGTCGTGAGAATTATTTTATTATGTTTTATTTCTATCATTTGATTATTGCCCTTCTACGTGACTTTACCGAAAGAACCAAGAAGATGAATCCCTGCAGTCACGAAAGCTTTAAATCGAAAAAGAAACTCCGCAAGTTGCACAATTATGTGAATAATGAATAGTTTCTGTGGCGCCCGCATAATGGCGAGTGATGCAATAGAATCCCGGTTGATGCGCTTCGGGGGTTAAGTGCATGCATTGAAACCGTGACGAAAGCCTGGCGACTCCGGTGATGTATGCACGTTCTGTGAAAACGGCCAAATCAACAAAATGCTTGATAAATTTAAATGACCAGACCTGACCGATTATACGCGTGAAGAGCCATGACCGGATGGAGCGTATTCAGCCATGATAAATGTTTTAGTGACGAAAAAAGTGCTGAATGAACCGTTTAATTTAAAAGTTTATAAATTTAGCATGAGCCGCGAAAATATAGTTTTTTTTAGACATTAAAATTTTATGGATTGTATTGGTCAAGAGCCCGAAGTTGCATTCATACGAGGAATATAAAAGCTAAGATGTAATATACATTAGCAAGAGAGTAAATTAAATTAACGATACAAGCTATGCTTTCATAACAAGCTCAAATCATCTGCCAGAGCATGGTCATGCTCTGAAAACCAACTGTAATTAGTATCCAGCTTTAGTTAACCAACTGGGTGGCACTGCGGCAGAGCACCCGGGGTTCTTGGGTTAAAATCCCAGTTGGGAGCCGATTGAACCCATCATCTTTGTTGAGACAAGACCAGAGGTACCGCATTGCAGGAAAGCCAACAGTGGTTGTCCTCCGTTGAAATTGTTCCCCAACATCACTGGGCTCAAGGCCTCTATAATCAGTTGAGCGGTGCCCAAATATAATTTAAGAGTGTGAATTTTCCTAACAAAGATTCATTTTCGCAACAAAAACATGTTTCAGGGCAGCGCACTGTGCATTCACACCCCCGATTAGCGCGGTTGGCTACGTGCTGTGCGGAATAAGTTCAACGTGCGCGTCCACACAGAAGGAGTGCACAATGCATCATTGGACAGCATGTCTCAAAACATGCTTTTGCTAAAAGAAGTATTTAACTCGGCCCAGCGTTCGGGATGACGCAGGTTAAGCTCCTTTTCTTCAGTGCTGAGTATTGTAGGACAATATAATACCAACAAAAAAGAGGGATTACGTGCAGCATCTGTAGTTGCAGTTCATTTTAAATGAACTGCGCTCGACTAGATCGATACTGTATTGAGTCTCCTGCATGTGGTCGGTCGTGATTTAGATCGGTAACTAAACGAAAATTGTTGCCTACATTCGCAGCCAGCCTGCACGGTGGTCATCTCATTTTAAATCTGTGCCATCTCGACTTTTTCGAGACATTTTATCTTGCAATGGTTCATCTTTAAAATAACAACACAAACACATTTCTCGTATTGTATCACTAAATTAACTTTTGGTTTTAAAAAAAATCTAGAGAGGAACAGATATGAATATTTGTTTGAAAGGTGCCTTTCATGCATTTAAAATGTAATTGAAATACTTCATTCAAGCTACAATTGTCTGTAGCTAGTCATAGGAGTAATACAATATCAGGCAATTAGACATTATCGTACACCCAATTATATAATCGTAAATACACCGGAATTACTTGTTTGGCTAATCAAGTATAGAAAGTAAAGTAGGCTGCTGCATTGCACGGTGGTCAGAGTGCTTGCGACTGAATAAGGGTCTCACAACACTTTGTTACACATTCATCAAATACTTTGTGCAAGATGCCATCTTTTTCAATATTAATTTGTTGTATGTAATGGGTTCATGTAAGTCCTGTAGCCACCAGTGGTCGCTACATTCACCACAGCGAATCCTTTACACCATCACTACTTAATTCTCACATCTGTCTGTTTGCAATAAACACATTCCTGCGGAGGGAGCTGGTAGGAACGTTGGGTTGCTCGGTTAATGGCCAGGGTCAACGGCCGCGTGGTGTATTCCGCAAATATGCCCGACTGTGAGGGCGGGCACAAGCCGGCGTGAATAGGTTAAACGTTGAGTTTTATAAGGACACCACGGGGTGACCAGCCCCTCCCTACCCAGCCCCACCCCTCCTACCCCCCACCCAGCCCCACCCTCCCCACCCAACCCCTCCCCTCCCACCCTCTCCTCCCCACCCAGCCCCTCCCTACCCTCCCCACCCAGCCCCTCCCCACCCTCCCCTCTCCACCCAGCCCCACCCCTCCCATTTTTGGATGCACGACGGACGGACGGACACAATAATCCCCATATGGGCTGGTGTATCCAGGAGGTTCCTACCAGTATGAAATCTTAGCTATGCTTTATCAGTGAATTAATATGTATTAATATTCTAATAATGCCTGTCACTTACCCAGTAAGCCTCCCTGAGTCTCAGTACTTTTTTCCCAGAAGGGTCCAGCATTGCGATGTTTTGCCAATTCCACTCATGAGCGTTTGACTTCGTGTGGGAGGAAATCACAGGACACGGAGAAAGCCTACGCACATGAATATATCATACTCAAAGATCCACGTGCATGCGTTTAATAATTTGTTGTTCTGCTGCCATCTCCTGCCAACCTTGCAGAGCAAGTCTAGAACGGTGGTGAGATGTTAACTACCTCGCCCGGTACACAGGTCACGGGTTCGATCCCGACCCTGATGCTTATATATTTGAAGTTTGCATGTTCTTCCCGTGGTCGTGTGAATTTCTCTCCAGGTTCTCCGGTTTTTCCCTTCACGTTTAGAATCAACGTGAGTTTAGAGTATTTGGCTGCTATACATTTCCAAGTGATAAGACACTTTGTTGAGCTATCATTTGTGGCCAGGTTGCTCCTGAAAAAGAGCTATGCAGCTCACTGGGCCTTACCTGGTAAAATAAAAATGGTAATAATTGTTTTAGAACACATGCTCGTCCAAAGCAATCTCCCATCCAAGTACTAATCAGGCACATTTATGCTAAGACCTCTGTGGTCCGATGAGATTTGGTGCATTAAGGGCAACTTGGTTAGAGTGTGTTGTGAGGAATGCATAAAAAACCTCGTCTTTTCATCAGTCGCACATGCACACCAATGCATTTTGACATCATCACCCAACGTGTAAAATCCACCACCAGTATATCGAAAACGACAGAGGTTGTATTACCGGGAAAAAATATTCTTCACTGCCATAGGAACGTGGAATGTTTCACCATTGGCTCAGAACTACGAACAAAGATGAGCACCATGCTGATCTGAGTACGAGGGCATGAATACACTCCCATGCGTCCACACCAGGGGATAGTATGTTTACAAGACGCCTATTGTTGTCTATCAGTGCGATAACTAAATAAGACCTGGTTTTAATCTGGTAAGCCATGCTCACCAGTTTGTATTACTTACAGTTAACATACTCATCCAGCCTCGGGTTACCACTTTTTCCAGGAGATCAAACCCAGGCATATTTCTCAATCAGCCTAGGTATATCAACACCGTGCAGTATCCTACAATAGAGTTCAACACAATATCACCATATCTTGGTAGAAATCAATTTCCTGCCACCTGAACAAATATGTCAAATGCCAAACACCTCTCTAGATCAAACCCAGACAGGTGTTTGTCACAGGTCGACGTTATATCCGATGCTGTTTTGCTGCCCATGAGCACTTGGCATCACTCATATCTCCCCCCCTCTTCTTCTGTTCCACAAGGTTGCGATGACCAAGCATGAGCCCCGCCTGGCTTGGTCCTCCTTGGGCGGCCCTGCACGCGCTGCTGTCCGGCCTCCTCCTCCTCACGGCTCTCCTTCGCACTTCCAGCACGGCGACCTCGACCCCTCCGTGCTCCTCCACCATCGGCGAGGCGCTGCGCGGCTCGTTCGGCTCGCGTGAGATCGGCACGCGGGGCGGCGATGGCAGCTGCACGTGGATCGTGCACAACCCGGATCCCACCAAGTACTCGGTCTTCCTGAAGATCGCCGCCAGCGACGAAGAGAGCTGCCGGGATTACCGTGTCGCGGTCCGCAGCTTCGACCTGCATTTGCCCGCCGGCAATGGGACGTCTTCCGCCTGGACCGCACCGGGCACCGGCGGGGACGTGCTGCAGCCGTGCTCGCCGGCCACGAACGCTCTCTCGCCGCTGCTGCTGCTGCGCTCCAACGCTGACGACGTAGAGGTTCAGATCTCCAGGATTAGCGGCCGCGAGGACCAGCGTCTTGGCCCCGCGGGAGGCGACTCGGAATTATCGGTTGATTTCCTGCTGCTTGACAATGTGCTGGGTTCCGTCACTTCAGCTGGGGGATGCGGGGTCCTGTGCTCGTGGCTGGAGAGTGGAAACTTCGGATGTGTGGTGTTGGGGCCACGTCTGCAGTGTGCCCATGGAGGGGAGCTGTCTGTTGCGCTTCCTTGTGCGTGCAGCACCCTCCCGGTTACCCTCCCGGCGTCTCCACTCGCCAGCAGGACGGATGATTGCCCGAGGCCAGGGTGCCTTCCCAAGGATGTGGCTCATGACCGCGGCAAGGGCGTGCAAGGTACGAGTTGTTGGACTTTGGATAATTAGAATGTCAGTGATCTTTGATGAATGCATCTTCGTGTCTTTTAATTACGTTCAAATCATTTGGAAGCAATGGAAACACTTCCATGATCCGGATATCGATAAGCATTTAATTATTGCATTCATCAAATATGGAATATATTCCCTTGATGTTACATGCTGTGAACCCCTCTTCCAATTTTTTTTTTATCAAATGGAGTCTTGAGAAATTAACTCGTTTAACAAAGCGATACAGCCTAGAGGTTCGTATGCAAATGTTGTCGTATCTTCTCGCGACACCCTCCTGCAAAGCAGTGTCTGCCAAACGAAATGCATTACCCATCATCGGAATTCACAAGGCATGCAAAAGGAACGGTTGTAGACGGGGCTGCCACGAGGGGGTGTCTTTTGGTGGGTCCTGCACCACCAGTTGTCCCTTTGGTCCGCCCAAGTTCTCTTCAACGCGTAGGCTTTCGTGACAAATATTATCCACTAGCCTTTTGCCCGTCCAAGGACGGGTGTATTGCAGTAAATCTGAAACTTGCAAGCAAAAATCAGACCGCGACGTGATATATTCATTGCATCAATTCGTGTGCAATTTGTAAGGGCGCAGTGACACAGACTTGTTTCATGTAAAGGTTAAAATCCCTTGTTCATCATGACGTCCTTTTTACTTCGATGTCTCAGTAGCGTTAAGGAGATCGCGTGACGTGAGGGTTCTGCCTTTGTAGTGAGGGTTGTGAGTTGACGCCGAGGAGGGGGGAGGAGGCGCCTCGGCCCCCCATGTGGAGTGACGTCAGCCACTAATTATTATGAATGGGGGGGGGTGTCCATTTTGAGGACGTCACCTTATAATGATTATTATTAATTAGGGGGGCTGGTCGATGTGGAGTGACGTCACTTGCTCATGATTATTAATGAGGTGGTGTCCATGTGGAGGACTTAACCCATTCATGATTATTGAGGGGGGCTGGTCGACGTAGAGTGACGTCACGAGCGTTGCAAACAGACACTCTTGGCTCATTATAGTAGGTAATAATAGGGGGGGGTGTCCATTTGGAGGACGTCACCTGCTCATGATTATTAATGAGGGGGGCTGGTTGACGTGGAGTGACGTCACGAGCGTTAAGTACAGACACTCCTGGGTGATTATAGTCGGTATAATAGAGGTTTCTTTGGGTTAGAGGGATTTTGATCTTCATGATACCGACCCGCCCCTACTCCTACTACTGTATCCCCACCCCACTACCTCTCTGGTGCGCAACAACTCCTCTGCCCATAATCCAGGTTTTTTTTGGGGGGGTTAGATCACGTAAATATAAATGTGTCGTTAAACCCGCCCCTACCTGACACAGCCAATTGGTAAAATGTGTTTACATAAACAAACATGCCAGTTAGTTACTAGTTCAGCACACCAGTGTTTTGGAGAGTAAACCCACGACATTTATAATTCGAGTACTGTGTTTCGCCAGTAATCACAACGAAACTCATCAAGCAACAGCCAGAATGTCACTCTCGTTAGTGGCACAATGTACGTATGTTGAGTTGAACTTCTTTCGCACATTAATAGCCATCTGTGCCAATGGGAGGTGCAGGGAAGGACAACAAACTAAACGCAAAAAGCAGTTCTAAAGAAACGAGTCTTCAATCTAAATTTGAAAAAGCGCATAGCTCCAGTGGCTTTCTAATTTTGGAAGGAAGAGCGATCCAGATGGCTGCAGAAGCACATCTGAAAGTGCGCGAATCAGTGAATGCAGTGACTGCCTTTGTTCGATGGCTAGCCAAAAGCTGCTGCTGCAAGGATCACCGGAGTTCACGTGATGGTTTATGCTCCTTGACGAGAACAGCAAGGCATCGTGGTTCATTTGTGGCAAGCACTTTGAGTGTAATTAATGCGACCTTATCACGTGTTCATTCGGCAACTTGAAGCCAATGCAGCTCAGCGAGCACTGGCTGGACATGGTCGGATCTTGCAGTACCCGTCACGACACGTGCCAGGGACTTTTGTACACACTGCAGCTTGGTAAATTAGTTTTATTGTCAGACGTCCCGTAGAGTTAGTGAGTTGCAATAATCTAGCCTTGTCGATACTATGCTCCACGCTACTGTGTGTTGGTGCCCCCCGCCCCTCACACAATAGCTATAATGCCCCCCCCCCCCCCCCCCATTTCGAGAGAAGCTGGGGCAGGGCCTTCTGTTGTACAGTTTTGCTGAAATAGAAACGATTCACGAGCGAAAGGATGACGATGTGAAGCGAGGAATCTCTGAATATGCATTGCTTAGATTAACTTTGAAAATGTAATAATAATCGTTTCTCTGATACTTTTATTGGGGTTTTCCCATCTGAATCTGCCGATGCCATTTCAGTGAACTCTAACCAAGTTGTGAAAATTAGGAACGTTGTTAAATCGTGCAAGCTTACTCCATCTCCAACCAGCCAAGTTGCACTGTGGTTACTGTGTGCAACTTTAAATCAAATGGTTGCAAGTTTTAATCTCAGTGGGAAGTCACATTCCATTGAAATGTTGCGTTATCAACACAACTCAGGCTGTTGATGGAGATGAGCACTATCCCATGCCCATTTGAGAAGGGACACATTACAGGCCAAGGGAATCGGTTGGACCACATGAGATGTTGAATGTAAAATGTGAGATGTTATGACTCCAGCAGGTGAATCAAAATGTCTCATATTTTTCACATTCCCAGCTATCCTACGCATATTTATTTTAGACTGCGTTCACTCTGCATCAAATAATGGCTCCAGAAGTTGATGTCGCAGAACTACTTCTGAGGTCACTTCCGTAGGTCTCTTTATCCACACCCAGGGCACGCCTTCTCGCGCCATGCAAAGAACGTTCCTCGCCTGCCAATCAAAACCAACATTTCTAAGTTCTTGGGGATAGATTTTCAGTTAAATGAAGTGCAACACCAAATCGTTTTACAACTTGTGGCTGACCGGGTTCAATCCCAGGATCTCAGCAGTGTTGGCTCAGTTATTCCGACTACTGAGGGGTCCAGCCACCTCGGCCAAATTCACAATCTTAACAAAATTACTTTGGTGATTTTTTTTAGAGGCCAAGACGTTAGCACCTTTCCCCCAAATGTTGCATTAATTGTAATCGTCTGCCAAAACTTGAGTCAGGCCCTGGTCGATTTGACTTTGACTCCTGGTGTAAACAGCTAAAGCTGTTTATTTGGCTTGTATATGCTTTGTTTTCTAAACGTGGGATTTAGACATCACCAACTACATTCATTATCTACACTATGGGGACCTCATTTGCCAGTAAAAATATGATAATTGGTTCTTTACCCTTCTATCTGGCAACAAAACTGACACCTTTTTGCAAGGAGTCATGTTTGCATAGACCGCAATACCTGCAGTCATAAATACAAACAAAAGACATAACTCTGATAATGTGCACTGTCCTTGAAGTTGATTGGTCCACACCCGAGACAGCTTTCCTTCGAGCCTAGTCTCATATGGGTTGGACCAGATGACGCCAAAAGGCGCACAACTCAAGGACAATGCACCATCAGAGTATGAGAGCTCGGGGCAAGCATCTACACTATGGGGACCTCATTTGCCAGTAAAAATATTGAGTTGTGCGCCTTTTGGCGTCATCTGGTCCAACCCATATGAGACTAGGCTCGAAGGAAAGCTGTCTCGGGTGTGGACCAATCAACTTCAAGGACAGTGCACATTATCAGAGTTATGTCTTTTGTTTGTATTTATGACTGCAGGTATTGCGGTCTATGCAAACATGACTCCTTGCAAAAAGGTGTCAGTTTTGTTGCCAGATAGAAGGGTAAAGAACCAATTATTACATTCATTATCATTGCACAATTGAATGTGTTGTCTTACTAATCTCCTTCTAAAGTGCATAATTCAATGTTTTTGGGAATAGGGAGGAGGTATGCTCAGATACTACCCATTTCAATCAATCTCTGCCCCCATATACTCATGCAATACATTATTACATAATCCGTGCGCTGTCATGTGGTTACAGCATACCTTGAAACATTGTGTTAATTAGGATTTAAATAATAATAAGATTAATTAATTTGCCATGCTTAACAGCAATGCCACACCAAGTGCTCAGCCACATTAATCATCCGCACCACTTCGTGTTTTGTTTTCAAGTTGTTTCTGCAACGCAGCAGGTATTCCATTCGCACATTTGGCACGGGGCTTGCGCTAGCCTGCTTTTGACAAACTGAAAGGTAATGCAGCGGTTGTATTTATGCCAAAACAAGTAGAACTTTGAAGATAAAAGAAAAATATATGTGATGTATCGTGCTGTTAATGAATGTCCCTTTTAAGAAGACATGGTGTGTGAGATGGCCAGACTGGTCCATGGCTCAAGGCGGTGAGCCCACGCCGCTGAAATCCGCGGCTCAATTACATGTTTCAGCCACACGGATTTAAACTGCGTTCTTACGTATAAGGCTCAAAGATGATTTCATATGAAAGTCATCGCACGGAATTTTAAGTTTTCACTTAATTTGGCTGCCATCCAGAAAACATTTCGTTGCAGCAGGGTTTTTGGAACAGTATGACCCTGGGTGTGTGGTCAACTCAAGGGATCTATGTTCCTTAACACTTGCGGTAAGGCAGAATGGATGCTTCACCTGGTGACATGGTAACGATAGCGCAATAAGCATTTAATTAGGGAAATAACCTTTTTAAAAAATATATATGGGAAGATAATGGCTGATTTGGACAATTGTTTTATTAAACGCAGAATGCCAAGTTTCACAATGTTTTCCATCTAAAATTAATTAAGGTATTCACTCAATTTTGATGACTCTAAATGAGAAAGTATGCCTAAAACATCAATACTCCATGCAGCATTGATTATTACCATATGCCATTTATTATGCCTGCTTTGAATGCAGCCAAGCAAATGCTATTTTTTTTCCAATCTCATTATCTTGGGCACCATTTGGAGTAATCATTCTCCTTAATTTTCTCGCAAAAGCCTTCTTGGATTTTCTAAA